TACCAATACAAATGGACACGTATAACATTTTCTAAGTTGAAAATTAAATCAATCAAATACATTTAATTAACAATTCCCATACAAATAAGTTTTAGGCAATTTAATTGTCTAGAATTTATTTTCTTTTCATATATATTCCATGCTTAAAATCAAATGCATCCTTATTTTCACGGAATTACGCTTAGAGTTTTTCAAAATTAAAAGTAATTTATGTAGGTTAAAAGTAGTTTTATTAATATAGACTATTTGGTTAAACTCAAAACGTACTTTTTTCTAAAAATATCAACTTGAAAAAGTTATTTTAGAGAAACCTAAATTTTAAGATCAAATTTTCACTTAGCGGACATTTATGTGAAGTGGCAAATATACGTTTGTGTGCTCAATGATACAAATAGAAATTACACATAATGTGTAAAATTTAAATAAATAAATTTCAAGTAATATGATTTATATTAAAATAATTGTGTCATTGTAATTTGATCAAAATATTAATTGATTAAATATGAAATAAAAATTATAAGATATATAGTAATTAGTTACTATCTAGTGAAATAAATATAAAACTTATACGGAAGCACTTTTGATGCTTTTGAAATCAAAACCAATCAATGAAAAGATTTTCAATAAAAATTTATAGTTAAAAATTGTACTCTTAACTATGGGTAATACAGTTTTATTTTAGCAGTTTTTAAAATATTTTCAAACTAAATTATTTTAAACGGTTTGAAGGAATTCTTAGGAAAAATCAAACCATTTTTTTACCATTCGACTTGATTTCAAACTATAATTTTAGGTATATAACATAATCTCTCTCAAAAAGTGAAATAGTAAATATATTGGTCAGACCTCTCCAATATAATACTCAAAATTGAAACATCCTAAAAATAAATATTACATAACCAATATTTTTGTCTCATTACCAAGCGTCCAAACCGAACCGTTCGATTTGATTTTAAAATATAATTTTTAGCGATATAAAATAATATTTTTCAAATAAGTGAAATCATAAATATATTGGTAATATCTCTCCAATATAATACTCAAAATTGAAATACCATAAAAATAAATATTACATTAGTAATATTTTTGTCCCATTACAAGTTTGAATCAATAAATTAATACAATGTTCAACCGTAAAATTTAAGCTTACAAATTTATTATTATAGAAAAATATAAAAAAATTGTAATCACAAATCATTATTTTCTTAAAGAGTCAATGAGAAAGGACTAAGCTATTAGATTTGTTGAAGTATTACTTGAACTAATAAATAATTTTTTTTTACTTAAATTGAATGAACGGTTCAATTTTCAAGTGATTTTTAACTATCTAAATTTAAACCAAACTATTTTTCAAACGATTTGATTTGACTTTTGAAATATTGAAATCGAATCGAATAATTTTTAAATACTGGTATCATTTCGATTTGGTGGGCGAATTTATTTATTTATTTTTGTCCATTCCTACTCATAAGAGCTGTATCAAAATCGTTAATATTCTGGCACTGTTTGAGCCGTATTCTTTGAAAAAAATATATTCTTTAATAGTGATTTGACATTATTTCAATCACAAATTCTTCAATAAAATAATATTACACTCAAATCGAAATTTTTTCCTTATTTTTTTAACCATATATTCTCCTTCAATCTACTATTTCAAAATACATTCTTTCAAAATAACATGGATCCGTATCGCTCATTAAGGATTGCCTTAATCGATTCAAAGTTCTTTCTGGTCTTATTCCTAATCCAGCTAAGAGAAATCTATTTACTAGTGTGTTTCTTCATTTCTTAAGGATCAGTTGTTTGATGTTTTAGTGTATAAGCAGGGTGTGTTATCGATACGTTACCTTGGTGTCCCATTCATCTCTACCAAATTGCGAGCTTTAGATTGGAAGGTGTTGGTGGATCGAATTATAACTAGAGCGAAGAGTTGGACTTATCGAGCACTCTCCTGCGCGAGTAGGTTACAGCTCATTAAGTCTATACTATTTTCTATTCAAGTATATTAGCTTAAGGATGAGGGTGGTTTGGGTCTACGGACCATGGAGATTTGGAATAAAGTTGTCATATTAAAGCATCTTTGTTCCCTTTGTACAAACTCAAGCTCCTTTCCGTGGGTTTCATGGGCACATTGCTACTTACTTAGAGGCAAGAGCATTTGGTAATTGAAGCGTCCTGGAGATTGTTCTTGGACTTGGAGGAAGATTCTTGGACTTCGAGATATAAGGAGGGACAAAATGAAATTCAGAATCAGTAATAGTAGACGTGCTTCGCTTTGGTTTGATAATTGGCATCCTCTTGGCCCTTTAGAGAATATTATTGGTGAGAGGATCATTCATGAATCTAGATTGAGCAAACAAGCTAAGGTGGCTGATATTATTGAGGGAAATACTTGGAGTTGGCCATCAACTCGTTCCTCAATGTTGTCTAATTTCATGAGAGATACTCTGAATACTTTTTGACCAAATAGTACTAGAGAGGATGTCTTGCGAGGGGTGGATGATGTGCATGGAGTCTTCTCTGTTTGGAGTGCTTGGGAATCACTTTGAGTTCATTGCCCTAGGGTGACCTGGTATCACATTGTTTGGTTCCCTAAATATATTCCTCGTCATGCATTTATCCTTTAGCTAACAATTCAAGGTGGCCTCTATACACAGACCAAGCTTATTCGCTTTGTTTTGATACAGTCTATGCATTGTGTGCTGTGTTGCTGTTCAGATGAGGATTTGGATCAACTTTTCTTTGCTTGCCCATATTCTGAGCGTATTTGGCATTCTTTGCATGCAAAATATAACATGCCTTGGGTTCATCGGAGTTGTACAGATACTCTTTCTTGGATGGAGCAGTTTCGTGGGAGATCTTTGCACTCTATTGTTATCCGTTTGATATTTACGGCTTCGATTCTAGCTATTTGGCATGAGCGTAATACTAGAACCCATGGTGAGGCTCCTAAACATGAGTTTATTGTTATTCGAGACATTATTTTTTCTATTTGTGCACGAGTAAATTTATGTAGGGGCTTGGTTCCATCTGATGAAAATAGATGGCTCCAACGTTCATGGGGTTTTTCTGCGAATATTTTTTATTGACATGGTTAGGATTAAGCACTGATCTTGATTAATTATTGGTGCTGGGATGTCCCTGTGATTTTGTATTTTACTTTCAAAAGTTAAATATAATACATCGACCTTATCAAAAAATAAAAAATAATGTGGCTTAAACACACTCTATATAACAAACATGTCATAAGAGTCTTCTGAAATTAAGTGTACCACAATGGTGTAGTATTAACAATAAGGGCTTGTTTGAGCTACATTATTTTCAAAAAAGCACATTTTTCAATAAAATAATATTATACGAAAATCTAAAATTTTTTCTTATTTTTTAACCACACATTTTCTATTGATTTGAAATGAATAATACATTTTTTTTTTAAGAATATGGGTCAAACACTTGCTTAATTGCAATTACTACTTACAATATTTATTGATTGACCATTTGGCGACGGCTAAGTGTAACATTTAGAATGGGCCGTTGTCATTTTCCACGTCAATTCCCCCTCCCATCAAAATTCATATCATTTTCAAACGATGCCTGGTACGTAACGCCAGGTGAGAAATATATCAATCAACTAAAGCAAATTAAACTGCTTCATTTTCCATTAAGTTTGGTATTATATAGGTATATGTAAGCAAGGGTTTCTATCTATCTATTATTAAAAGAATGGAGTGACAATAACATATATTGCAATTTTTGTTATCGTACTTCTATACTGCCTATGGCGTAGACTTGAAAATCCATGCCCTTCAATTGAATCATTGCATTGTGGCAACTACAAAATGAGATCTTCAACAATGGCCCATTTTAGATTCTCAAAAACTCTCACATCTTTTGGAAAGTGCAGTGACGTGATCTCTATTCTATGTACACCATTCTTTAGAAAGTTGTTGAGCTGAAAAATTTTCATTAATTAAAAAAAAAAAAAGAGGTTGAACCCCAACTTTGAGGGTTCCCACCGTTCCGTTTCTAGAACTTTGTAAGAGAGGTAAATCGCGGAATGTGCCCCAACAGGTCAGAGAACAAGAATTATCTGTACATTACACCTACAAGGAGTCCAATTCCATGTTTCAAGAATCGAATTCTTACATTGCGGCTGTCAGCAAGGCGTGAGATAAAAATTTCGTTAATTAAATTATCTTTTTGTAGTGTGCTTGCCTACGAATATAATTTTCTTTCTAAAGGCGCATTTATCATAGAAGTGATTCTTCATCCTGGAGGTGGCTAACATGGTTGTTTAACGAGTCTAAACAAATCATAGTACATTACCAATCATTTAAGTATGCATCGAATAGCTCATTGTGGAAGATACAAAATATGTCTCGAGCGTTACAGTCACCGTAATATGTGATCTTTAATCATTATTTGCCTTAAATTTTTAAAAGCTTGTTCATGTGATTTTGAAAAGTGCAACATAGTATTATTCTTAAAATTTTCGAGTTGAGCAGCATTTCTTCAAATAAACTCATCTAGAGCAGTATTTATCATGTCTGGGTGAATCTAATGCCCCTCCCATGCCAAAGGATAGAATTTCCTTTTATCATAGAGATTCTACTTTAATAGTTTGGAGGTGGCTAACATGGTTGTCTAATGAATTTACAATCTATGAATTAGATCAAATCACCTGTTTAGTAAATATGCATAGAAATAGTTCATATGGAGTCCCCTTTATTAGTAATTGTTGTTTGCTTGTCATATAGATCGTCTTCGACCTGCCCCTTTCGTAATTTATACTTAATATTAATTTGAATTCATACCAATATTCGGTACTTATTGACGTCGTGAAATTGAACATAAAGGGATGTATGTTCTTGATGGCTAGAAATAATTAATCTACCTTAAGAACAACATACAACATTAACCAACTTCACGGGCTCATAAGCATGTTAACACATTCATTTCCAGCCAATAATTAAATGGAAAACTTTTAAGAAGAATGATTTGCATTTTCTTCTCTTGTTTGTAAATCCAATCATAAGAATAATTAAAGATTCACTGGAGAAAGAAACACAAGAGACAACAAGGGCCACAAGGAGACAGACAAGACTAAACCCAAGCCACGCCCACCCCACCCACTCCCACCCTGGTTGTGGGCCCATTATGAGGTTCTGATCTGTCAAACTCAGTGGTGCCAGCCTAGCATTTCATATACATTATTGAAATGTGGGACCCTCTCCTACACAAAGCACATGCCACTCTTCCCATGTATTCACATTCGTCATTCAAAAAATTAAATCCCATTTGTCGCCTTGTTAATTTGACTCTTTATTTTGTAATTAATTTTCTTTAATTATGCTTATTTTATTCCAATATTACGGCCTCACCGCTTCTTTCTCTGTCTTCTACACAAGAAAAAGGGAAAAAGGCACAAATTTTTCCGTTGCCACAAGAATTTAGTGTCGGCAAAATACCCGTTGGATGGAAATAAGTGGGAAATTACGGGAGTGATTAATGGGCAATAATTATGGAATTAAATTTGATTAGTGATAAAATTAAAGAAAATTTAATTGGAGTCAATATATACTAGTTTATTTGAAGATGAAGGCTGTCTTTTTTTTATTTTGTGCTGTCCTTTTCGCTTACTAATATTTTTTCTTGTTATTGTAATGCATAATTTCTCTCTCTTTAATTGCAACTCATCATCATTCAATCACACCCTTTTCTTCTCTTTCTTCTTTCTTCTTCTCTTCACCCAGTTTAGTTTTGTACAATCAAGGATTTTTGGAGGAGGTGAATGAAAGTTTGAAGAAGAGAAAAACATGAAAGGGCTAGTAAGTACGTTAATTATTTAATTGTTTTCGTTATTAATGTTAATTACTAATGTTTTTGTTTGATTATTATTGTTTCAGCTTAATTTCTTGGATCAGCTTTGTTTTGCGAGTTTTTTGTTTCTGAGTTCTCTTATTCTTGCTAAAAAATTCTATCTTTTTTGTTGAAACTCGTCGGATTGAGCTTAATTACTGTTTAACTGTATGGATTCATTGTAAATTAATTTCAATTTTGATTTGTTCTCCACTATTTTGAGTTTGGGTGCTACTCTACTACTCTACATTGTCTCTATGAGACAACTAATTGTTGGATTCTAGGTTTAATTATATTTTATTCTTTTGTAAATGAAAGGCTCTTCCTTGACAGTGGAAGAAATAATTTGTGCTTTTTTGTAGGGGGTGCAAGTAGATTTTCCTTCTTTAATTTATAAATGTGGGTTCTTGGGATTTTATTTATTTATTTATTTTTTCCGGGATCTTTTGATTGTGCTAGTAACTTCTTACCATTTTGGAATACCACATTCTCATATCTAGATATTAATTCTGTGATTTACTTTGTTTTCCTAGCTAACTGATTACTTCCATTCTTAGCAGTTCATGTTAAAACCTAAGTAGAAGAAAATATAGATTTTTTTGGCATTTGGGAAAACTTATGTCTCGATGTTAGTTGTTTGTCAGGAGGGGTGAAAAATTGACTTTTTTTTTTTGGGATAGAAATCTCAAACTTTTATACCCAAAAATGTTTCCTAGGTACTTGTTTTCCTGAAACATTTGTTTGTTTCTTCTATTTTCCTTCTTGCTCTGAAAAGTAAGGAGTAAAGAGAAAATAGAAGAACGCTGGATGGAATTATGATGGTCATTCATGGCAGTTTGTGAGATTCTAAAATAGGAGGCTACCAAATTTTTTACGACTCTATGGATTCCTCTTTACCTTTTCCTCCTTTTTCTGTCCTCTATTTCCAGGTATTTTTCCTTTTGCTTCTAGCACTGTGTCATGCTGCAGAATGCAATGGAGTATGCAAGTCTGATTGGCCGCTGACACCGAGGCCCCACAGCGTGTCTGTCTTGGAATTTGGAGCAGTTGGGGATGGAAAAACATTAAATACTTTGGCATTTCAGAATGCCATTTTCTATCTCAAGTCCTTTGCTGACAAGGGTGGTGCCCAACTCTATGTTCCAGCGGGCAATTGGCTTATTGGAACCATCAATCTTACCAGCTATCTCACACTTTTCCTGGAAAAAGACGCCATTATTCTTGGCTCCCAGGTGATCACTCTAAGTACCAATTTTTTTGAACCCCTTTTAATAATAAAGAAAATCGCATTTTGCATGTCAATCTTGGAAGACACTGCTAAGCTTCAATTTAATCAGACGCATCTATCAGTTGCCATCTATTACGCACTGACTTTCCTCAAAAATTGCCATCACAAAGACCGAGTCCGAGGTTGATGCTCGGGCTCATCCAACATTCCCGTTTGTAGTGCTCTTGTTATCAGTGCCTGCAGTTGCAAAAATGGCAACAAGGACTTCCCCTAAGGCCCTCTGACAATCATGTCGGAAAGAGGGGGAGTAAGTATATGACTCTATGTAAATTGTGGGATATACTGTCACACCTTTTTTGCTCTGCACAGGTGGTTATATAGTTGAGTAGTGTTTTTAATAATCTCATGTATTAGGGAGAAGATGGGGAGAGTAATGTCCTCAATCATGATTTCTGCACACTTCTTAGCAGAAATAAATTGTCCTGCTCTCCTGATTAGATATCTTTCTCCTTTTAGAAGATGTACATATTAAGGTTCTTGTTAATGCTCTTTATATAATTTATCACTGTTTCACTTTGCATCCCGGAAACATTGTCCTCCACTTTATCATGCTTCATAGAACTTCTCTGTTTACGAGGCTACTTAAAATGCAAAATTTGAAGATATATTTTGCTACTAGTAATAAACAGAATTTTTGTCCATTGAGCATTCTGTTTCTCTGATACGTTCTGTATCAATTAAATGAGCTATCTTATATATTCAGCAGAGGTTTTTCTTTAGATGAGTTTTCAGCATTTTATGTTCTTTGTTGCTGTATAATCTATTCAAGCTCATATCCCTTGCTTTTGTAGGATTATAATCACTGGGATGTAATTGATCCCTTGCCTTCTTATGGCCGAGGTATTGAGCTCCCTGGACAAAGATATCGCAGCTTGATTACAGGATGTAATTTAACTGATGTGGTGATAACAGGTAGCAATTGTCCCATTCTTTCGCATTGTTTACTAAACTTTTCTTGTTCCAAATTAATCGGTGAACTTCCTTTTCTATTTCCATTTAGGCTTGCTGTCTGTCTCTATCTGTGAAATTGACTAAATTTTTTACATGTCACGAAAGATTTTTAGTGTATTGTTTCTATGATCCAACTAGACAAAACCGCCTCTGGTTGGAGTACTTGGGTTTTGTAATGTGCCTTTTCAAAGTAATGAAATAAATAAAAAAGAAAAAAATTAATAAAAGAAAGGCTTAGTATGCCCTTCCCCCTACGACTATATCAGAATTTCTGTTAATCTGACATATCACCACTGTAGTTTTAATTTTGTCACCCTTAGTTTTTCCATACATGTTCAGTATCCTTATTTTCTACCTACTTTACAGGTAACAATGCAACTATTGACGGTCAGGGTTCAGTTTGGTGGGAAAAATTCAGTTCTCATTCTCTAAATTATAGTCGACCGCATCTAGTGGAATTCATAAGCTCAAACAATATTGTTATATCAAACTTAACCTTCCTAAATCCCCCTGCTTGGAACATTCGCCCAGCTTACTGCAGGTATTTTGATATACTTTCTGGAACATCATCTTCTTCCTTTTTTTTTCCCCCAAAAGCATATTAAAGATTTGTTTAGTTTTAACATGTTTGTTTTTATTATGTCTTGTGATACAGTAAAGTACTAATCCAGAACATAACAGTCCACGCTCCTCCAGACTCTCCACACACCAGTGGGATAGTCCCAGGTCTTTTAAAGCTCTACTTAATCACATGCTTATTTTCATTCATGAGAAAGTTACACGTGTGCTCAATTGTTTGAAAAAGGGAATTAACACTGTTCAAGTTGGATGTCTATAGTTTTAACTTTTCACATCTCTTCTAAAAATAAATTCTGATGTCAAAACTGGTGCAACACGTCATCTACCAAAAAAAAAAAATAAAAATAAAAATAATGAAAAAATGGAAAAAAGAACCCTTATGAAATGACAGATCCATGTATGCCTACGCTTAAAAAATTTACTTGTAAGTTTACTTCTAAGTAAATAAATAATTATTTTGTTGATTGAAGTTGGAAATAAGTATCTTATGGTTGCAATGAATAACATCTGGATGCATAAATAAGAAAAAGGTAATCCATCTGAACATGTTTGGATGTAAATACATTCGTAGGCTGCTAATTTTTCAATATAGGTCAAACTAGGAAGAAAATGGAAAAGGAACACCAAGTGCAATCAAAGAAACAAGCAACTGATCCCTAGATATATGCTTAAGTTTTCTTATAAAGTTAAAACTAAACTTAGTCCAAGAGGCTGCTAATTAATGTTAACTACATTCGCTTTATACGGGTTAAATTTTGAGATTTCAATTCCTATTGTTTTCTTAATAGGCTTCCTATTCTATTATTACCAAGTATAGTAAACTAATGCAATGTGAATTTCAGATTCTTCTGAGTATATTTGCATCGAGAATAGCAACATTAGCTTGGGTTATGATTCTGTTGTGCTTAAAAGCGGTTGGGATGAATATGGAATTGCATATGGTAAACCAACTGCTAATGTCCATATTCGAGGGCTCCGCTTGCAGTCTTATTCAGGCTCTGGCATGGCTTTTGGTAGCGAGATGTCAGGTGGCATTTCCAGTATACTGGTTGAGAACCTTCACGTGCTCGACTCACTAATTGGAATCGAGCTGAAAACTGCTAGAGGAAGAGGGGGCTACATCGAAGGAATTTACATATCAGATGTGTTCTTGGAAAATGTACAGCAAGGAATTAAGGCGACAGGTCAGTGGGATACACATCCAGACGACCAATTTGATCCCTTAGCATTGCCCGTGGTCAGTGAAATTACCTTTATGGACATAACTGGCATAAACATTACAACATCGGGCTACTTTTCTGGTATTAAGGAATCTCCCTTCACTTCTATATGTCTCTCCAATATTTCTTTCTCCCTTGCTTTCGACTCATCCACATCATGGGTTTGCTCCAATGTGTCGGGTTCCTCGAAAAACGTGACACCTGAACCATGTCCAGAACTTCAGAGCTCAATTTCTAATATCTCTTCACAGTGTTCCTTCCTTTCATATCCACGTAGTCAAGTTGCATATTCTTGATTCAAAGTGCCTAAAGCTCAAATATTCATTCATTGATCTGTACAATGCAATACAACATTCCCTCAACCAGTTATGGTGCATAATTTTCCAATAATGTGCGAATTGGAACCTTCCATCTCGTGCCTTTTCAAGCTATCATCGACAAACTATAGCATGCTGCAAATTCTTCCAAGTGGTGTCCGTTTATATTCCCATTCCTTGTGTACAGTGTCAGTTTCTTCATTCGTGTGTAAGAAAAGTTTTGGTAGTGCAGAACGACTTGGATACTTGTTTCTTTACGCATTATTCTTCATATTTCAAATTATTAGTCATTTCATTCACATTGTAAATTTGGGTGGGGGCTGAAACAGCGTCATGATTGAAGACATATATAGTTGGAAATTGCAGGAAAGGTTCCTTTGCATTTTTCCATTGGATTATATGCATTTAACTATGTAGGCTTTCTTGTGTTTGTGATTTTTTCGTGCTTGTTTTGTCTTAAAATGGTCGATTTGTGCTCTTTCCTTCCACGACTTCGTTGGCAAGCATATCATTTAGAGGACAGATCGTGAAACACTGTGATGAAGAAAAATGAATTAGCTCAATCACATCATGATGATCACTTCTGGATCCAAGTACCGTAATCAAAATAATTAATGTAATGGGAATGATAATTCATCTAAGTCTATTTCTAGGCGAACTAATCGGGTTATCAAATCCTTTTTCTTAAATTCACTCACCTGAATAGGCTTCCTGAATTTGTCGGGACTTCTTATTAGCTTGGTGGGATCCTTGATCCACCTCTCTGGGTGCCATTTCTGTAATAACGACTTCGTTTTCTTCTTCAATCCTCAATATCAAATGTAAGGAGAAAATTACCATGGCTACGAATTTCAGCATTCAAAACCTGTTTACAAATTCCCAGCAGCTCTCTTTGGGAACTATTTTTGTACCTGATATTCTCAAGAGCCAAGAACATTTGCAGAGATTTTGGGTTGTAAAGAATGGAAATTAGTAGTACTAGTTCAATTATGTCCCTGCTTTTAGCCGTTGAAGACGTGAAATGTAGCCTACAAAATGCTGACATTTTTGTGGTCACACGGTAGGATTTTACATTTATTACAAGGTTAATATTGAAAATAAAATTTGAAACAAATAATTTGTTTCTTTCGAAGTTTGCTTTACCTTAGATGGTTCAATATTGTACAAATGCCAACCTTGAATTAGAAAATAAATTTGGGGAAATTCACTGTATTCAAGCTAAAACCCTTCAATTAAGCAAGCAACATCATTTTCCACCAGTTTCTTATCAATTAGCTATAGGAACATTGAAATACAGAGGAAATAAACAACAGCACGAACACAGGTCGATGTTAAGGAACATTTAGTTGAATTCATATAGGGACTTTACATATGATGAAAAATTATGAACCACAATGACAGAAAAATTACTGTAACATGTCCATGGTCCAAACACACATTAAAGTTCCGTTTGCTGGATTACAGGGTTCAAAAATATAGAAATTCCTTGTCCTCGAAAAGAAAAGAATTGCTAACATTCAATTATCCTGTACTAAACTCATCATCATTATCAATGTCAGTATACTATTGGCCTTGAAAATGTTGATAATTAAAATACAAAACCAATCGGAGCTTTGGTCAAACGCAAGATATCGTTAATTCCTTCAGGCAAAATCTTCATAAAGGTTGATGTGCGGATCAGGAGAGAACGCGGTAACAAGAAAGCCGTGAATCTTTGGTACATGTAATTACGGCAGCTGGTGTGGTGCAAAGCAGATTGGTGTGGCGCACCCCTGGTAAAAACCCGGGATTCCCTCCTGCTGAAAAACTTTCTTAATGCAGTCGACAACACCAGAATACCGCTTCTCAGAGTGGTGCCCTTGCTCTTGCTCTTGAAGCCTTGACCGCACAACCTGCATACAAGATTTGTCCGAACATAGTATTCAGTTGTCAAAGGTCAAAAATATTTATTGAAGCTTTGGCTGGTGAAAATGGATTCACGTATCCAAGTCCATAGTCAATAAAGGTTAATTTTTTGTTGTTTATCAATCAATATACAAAACAAGCATCTGTCGTTTTTATTGCATATAGCGGTCTTGACGTCTTGTTGTATATTGATTGTTTGCATTGATATGATAAAAATATTAAAACAGTACATATGGCATTTTCAAGATCTATAATTTATCTCATTTAACCATTAAAAAAAAAATCCAAATTTTTGTATATATCACACCTATTATAAATACATGTACAGTATTATTTATGATCAATGAAGTGTGAATGATAAAGAAGAAATCAAGTGCAACACTGAAGGAAGCAGATCAAGCAAACTAGTCATAGTCAAGAAGAATTATGTTAATCAATTGCCAAAATAAAAAAAATATTTACACGCAAACAATATATTTAACTAAGACTTGTATGATTTACCACTAACTTATAATCGCTAATCCCGTCTAAAATTTCTCAATTTTTTCCCCCTCTAATCAATATTCAAACCTTGACAACTAGTAACCAATGAAATTAGTCAAAAGTGTCTAACTAAGTTATTTTCTTTAAAAATGCATAGTAACTTGCAGTCAAACAAAACATTTGTTGCATTACTAGTCTTGAAAATTAACAGTTTGTTATCAAGTTGATTGATGGGTGCATTTGTTCAAAACTTATTGAAACACGTAGTGTAATTCATTAATCCACTCAATTTTCGTAAAAACTATAAATATGATCACCAGTGATACCAAAGCAGGAATAAAATAAACCCTTTCAATGTATAAAGGTGAAAAGTGTAAAAGAAAGAGAATATTGTTGCAAATTACCACATCATGACATCGCTCATTGAATGGTTGAATCGATAGTGCAGCGAGCAGGGAGGTCTATGGGGGCGTGGAGTTATTGTGCCATGGTATACCAATAAGCTTATACTTGGACTAAAGTAACACATGATGGCTGTTAAGTGGCAATTCAGAGCCAATGGCAAAGTAAAAGAACAAGGGCTTGTGTCTACTTAATAACTGAAGTTATTCCTTCCAAGAAAGAAAGTCAACATGAAATTAACATTAATGTGCTTCCTCCATCACCAAACTCTCATGCAAATATCAGACACATACGCAAAGAAGGGGAGAGAGAAGTAGTTAGCATTTATAATAAATCCATACCATTCGATACTTAGAGTCTTTAATTTCCCTCTAGTGTCCACTGGCATATTGTGTAGTATAGAAATTTTAATGAATATAGATAATGCCTACTACTTTGGAAAAAAATAGTTTGATACAAGTCTACTCAGCAAAGAGAAATTGGATATAAAGCATGTGTTTTTGGTCCAAATTTGAATTTCTGAGATTCAAGCTAATATTAAAAGAAACCATTTTTTTACATTTCTTTATCAAGTTACTTGCGAAATTTGTTTCCTGATTTCGTTTTCAATGCAGCATCTTCCCCCTATATGACATTTAGTTCCTTATACTGGAAATGTGGCAATCAAATTATTAGAATGTCTGTTCCTCAGAAATTGAGGAAAATCCAGTTCTCTTCTCTTGGATGTTACATTAAGAATTTCAAACAAAACCTATTTATATTGGAATTGCAGAAGTTCTGTGTGTTCACAGAAAGAAAGAAAAATTAGGTTTAAGGGATTTGAATTAAATTTCAATGGATGAATTTGTGCAAACCTACAAGAAATCCTAAAACCATAAGCCAAAGTAATAGCAAATCCAAAAACCCCTTAATGATGTGATATGATCCAAGAGTCGAGCTCGACGAAGACGAGTGCGAGACGGGATCCGTTGATAGTCGATGGCGGACCAATGACGCGATCAAGGATAAAGCAAGTGAAACAAGCAATGAGATTGCTCGTTCAAGAAACTATTGATGGAACCATATTTGGGACTCAAAATGGAGCAACTTTCATGTTAGGGTCGAAGACGGAATCAACTTGGATCAATTTATTATCAAGCGACGAAGCCGGAGGCTGAAAATAAGCGCACATGCAAAAACACCACGCGACCGCATGAAAATACACTATGCGGTTGTATAGGCCATTTTTTTTGGCGAATTTCTTATTTTTGGTATTTTTTCATATTTTGTTAGATTTTGATTCTTTTCCATATTTGGAGTTATTGTGCCATGGTATACCAATAAGCTTATACTTGGACTAAAGTAACACATGATGGCTGTTAAGTGGCAATTCAGAGCCAATGGCAAAGTAAAAGAACAAGGGCTTGTGTCTACTTAATAACTGAAGTTATTCCTTCCAAGAAAGAAAGTCAACATGAAATTAACATTAATGTGCTTCCTCCATCACCAAACTCTCATGCAAATATCAGACACATACGCAAAGAAGGGGAGAGAGAAGTAGTTAGCATTTATAATAAATCCATACCATTCGATACTTAGAGTCTTTAATTTCCCTCTAGTGTCCACTGGCATATTGTGTAGTATAGAAATTTTAATGAATATAGATAATGCCTACTACTTTGGAAAGAAATAGTTTGATACAAGTCTACTCAGCAAAGAGAAATTGGATATAAAGCATGTGTTTTTGGTCCAAATTTGAATTTCTGAGATTCAAGCTAATATTAAAAGAAACCATTTTTTTACATTTCTTTATCAAGTTACTTGCGAAATTTGTTTCCTGATTTCGTTTTCAATGCAGCATCTTCCCCCTATATGACATTTAGTTCCTTATACTGGAAATGTGGCAATCAAATTATTAGAATGTCTGTTCCTCAGAAATTGAGGAAAATCCAGTTCTCTTCTCTTGGATGTTACATTAAGAATTTCAAACAAAACCTATTTATATTGGAATTGCAGAAGTTGTGTGTGTTCACAGAAAGAAAGAAAAATTAGGTTTAAGGGATTTGAATTAAATTTCAATGGATGAATTTGTGCAAACCTACAAGAAATCCTAAAACCATAAGCCAAAGTAATAGCAAATCCAAAAACCCCTTAATGATGTGATATGATCCAAGAGTCGAGCTCGACGAAGACGAGTGCGAGACGGGATCCGTTGATAGTCGATGGCGGACCAATGACGCGATCAAGGATAAAGCAAGTGAAACAAGCAATGAGATTGCTCGTTCAAGAAACTATTGATGGAACCATATTTGGGACTCAAAATGGAGCAACTTTCATGTTAGGGTCGAAGGCCGAATCAATTTATTATCAAGCGACGAAGCCGGAGGCTGAAAACAAGCACACAGGCAAAAACACCATGCAACCGCATGGAGGCATATCGAAACTAAAGATGGGATTTTTGGTTGAACCATGCGACCGCATGGAAATACACTATGCGGTCGCATAGGCCATTTTTTTGGCGAATTTCCTATTTTTGGTATTTTTCCATATTTTGTTACATTTTGATTCTTTTCCATATTTTGGGGATTATGATCGACTCTTGTACTATTTTTATTTAATTTTTAGGTTTAGTATAAATAGGAGTTTCCATTCAACTGTTAAAAACTTTTGACATATTT